ACAAAATAAATGTTGAATATTTAAGGTTTTCAGAATTTTTCACCGAAACAAATATTATACTTAAACATAATATATAAGGTACCAAATAGAAACTCTCCTGGTTATTTTGGTGGTGGAACCACACTGATCGGTAAAAGAATCACAGAGAAATTGGTGAACATACATAGAAAAAAAAAAACATCGCCACAAACAAATTGAGAACCTCCTCCTTTTGTTGGTAGTGGGGAAGTCTGTTAAAAAGTAGTGTAAAATTATACATATGGTCATAATGAAAACAAATCTGGGGATAGAACTGGCCTCTGGGGCAGAGCCTAAAGATAATTTACCTCGTTTCTATTTTGATGGCTCATCTTACCATACCAAGACCTTTCTTTAGACACCTCTAACGAGTTTCTACGCCTAGCAGTTCTCTCAAATTATAGTGAAGACAAAGAAAACAGTTTCCAATTAAATATACTAGAGGTCGTCCAGTAATCGAAAACTTGACCAAAAATATGTAATGTACTTACATCTCATTTTCACCCCAAGCTATAAATAAAACCAGTTATTGGAATTTCTTTGATTTGTTTTGATTTTTTGTTTATATTTTTTGTTATTTTGTCACCAGCATGGCAACCCATACGGTCCATGTTATTGTTCTTTGAATTTGTATTTCATTGTTCTTGTTTATTTTTTGAGCCTATTTTAATTTATGAAGGGATTCTACACATCTACAGGAAAATATCATATATAACAGTATGCATAGATTTCCCCTGCGATGCACACGAGCTGAGAAAAAGGGTTTTAAAGAAATATGCTTGCCTATTAAATATAGACTAATAGACAGATAGATAGATAGATAGATAGATAGAGAGATAGATACTCTAATCAAACAAATTTTATTTGCCAACATTTTCAAATTAGTCACGTCCATTTCAACGTTTTATGTACCAGATGTGTGGTTTGTATTGGTATTAATGGTAGGCTTTGGCTGTCCACTAGGCAGGGTCAGTAGGGGCATTCTAGGTTTCTTGCATTTCCTTGTCACTTCTCTTGTTAACCTTTCTTCTATGATTTGACCATATCTATCTCCTGCTCCCTGAGTAACTGTCCACACTTCCTCAGCTACGGTGAATCTCGGACTAGCCATTTAGGATGAAACACTATTAGTAAATTTAGGTATCCAAGAATTTGTCCTATTGAGTAAAACGAGTATTTTTCTTGAGATAACTTCTTGACTTGTGAGGGTTTCCATGGAATCAGAATGGATTTGTTAGAGTTTTGGTTATACAGTGTGAAAACAATTTTTTCCTTTAATTCTCTATTTTCAACTGTTTTAAATATAAAAACAGCGAGAAAATACGCTGACGAGTTAATAATAATAATAATAATAATAATGAAATATATAAAAAGAGTAGGCTCAGCAGGCGTCCTCCTTCACCTGGCTAAGTTAGGAAAAAATATGTCAAAACTCTCTGATTGAAAATCTAATTAAAAAAAGGAAGATTGAGTACCCATTTTAAATTGGAATTTTATTTGAGGTATTTTATAGGTAGGAAACTAAATTACGTGAATGAGAAATGGCTGTGCAAATGTTCTTGGAGCTTCAGCAGTCTTCTTAACACTTTAATAATCCCTTGGTAACTAATTGCGTTTAATAGGTATCCACATTGCTTCATAAGAACTTCAAATGTTTTCATAGTTCAGAAATAATTATTTACCCTAAAACAATGTTGGTTTAGTTTACAAATTTACTTATTTTTTTTAAATACCTTAAAGGTATTAGTCATTTAAAAACACTGCGTTAGAAAATAAATTGTTTTAAATTTAATAGCTAATACCCCCGCCGCAGCAAACCTGCAGACTAAGCGAATTTCCTTTTGCCTGATTGGATTTACACTAAAATGCATCCTTAAAAATATCACATTTATTCCCTATTTAAATACAATTAGTTAAACCAGTACTTAGGTTTGCTGCAACAGGGAAGGTAAAAAGGTGATTTTTGTTGTAAAATGTTAATAGTTTAGTAAGAAATTAAAGTATTTTACAAATTCGATCAAAATATGTTCATAAACAAGCAAATTACAACAGTTGACTTATTCTCCATAAGAATAACATGGGAATTTTAAATTTACAATTTTTTGGAATTTTCTCCGTAACCATTAGGCGCACAATAATGCTTCAATATACTAAATTATTTGTTTTTTTAAGCTCTACAAAATGGTTTGGAAAGAAATTGTGAAATGTTGTGTTTATAGGGTCAAAAATGGGAAAAACCTATTTTTACCCCATAAAACCCCCCATAAACACCCGATCCCATGGTCCGATCATGCTGGTTCGCGAACTCGTTCGAATGAATATAGGTTTACACGTTTATACCAAATTTCATCAAAATTGGATCATTTTTGCTCGAGTTATCGTGCTAACGGACACATATCTAATATATAAAATTCTCGTGTCACAGTGTTTGTCTGCAAACTCCTCCGGAACGACTTCACCGATCGTTATGAAATTTGGTGTGTAAATTCTGTAGGTATGCGAATCGGACGTAAACTATTTCCCGTTTCGAAATTCTTAAAAGGGCTCCGCCCCAGTGGCTCTGGAGTTTCCCATGTTAACCTTATGAGAAATGGAATTAATGAATCTTAACAGCTGTTTCAATTAAACAAGTTGGTTCTGTTCTATGATGTTCAATAGCATTAAAGTTACAAGGATTACCAACAGGGTGCAGCACTATTATTTCTTTTACATTTATGACAACAGCTAATTTGCAACCAAAAGGTGAGTGAGCGTAGCGAACGAACTTCAACCTGGAGGCGAGTTAGCGTAGCGAACGAGCTAACCTGAAGGCAAGTGAGCGCAGCGAACGAGCTCCAACCTAAAGGTGAGTGAGCGTAGCGAACGAGCTCCAACCCAAAGGTGAGTGAGCGTAGCGAACGAACTTCAACCAGGACGTGATTGAGCGATGCGAACGAGATCATCTTGAAAATTAAACGTAACGGTACTTTCTTTCCATCGGTCTGTCTTAGGGGAAACCTATAACTTAGGCGATACGAAGTTCGCCGGGTCAGCTAGTATATATATATAAATATATATATAAATATATATATATAAATATATATATAAATATATATATATATATATATATATATATATATATATATATATATATATATATATGAATTTGAACGGATGGTGTTTTTGGCCTCTAGGGACCTCAAAACAAAAAAGTAAATCAGTCCCGCGTCCAGGTCTTACCATGAGTACTACGGTAATAGCTTATTCCCTATATGGGAAATTCGCTAAAAATAGCTTTTTTATTGCAATGTGTCATTAAAACGATGTTGTTGTTGACAGATATTGTTAGGAGTGTTAATCCGTTTCTTTGATTAATATTTTTAGAATGTTTAAAATTGTGTTAGACTTATTTTAATGCAAAATTAGTAACGGAAATAGTATTTGTTTTTCTTAATGTATTGAAAACTCTTAACAAAATGAATTAGGCAATTTGAAAAATACAATCAATATTTGAGGAAGGTAGATGATAACAGTTTTTTATTTTTTTATTATTATTTTTTTTTTTAGACGTACTATAAACTTGTGGTATTGTTTGGTTGCAGATGAGACGATGTTTTATAAATAGGAAAATCCCGACTACGTTTAGAAACTAGCAAAAACAAACATTCGAATTTAACAAACTTTTCTGGAACATAAACTAAATTTTAAATAAATTACTTATGAAATATCAAAACATATTTTACTTAAACATGATTCCAACCAAAAGCCAATGCTTACATTAGCATATACCGATTTTACTGTTGTTTAAAAATGTAAATACCTAAACGAGGTTGATAACGTTATACAGTACTGTATTTAAAACATTATGAACATTTTGTCAGATTTGTGATTTTATATGGGATCATAACCATCATCTTCTCATGTTAAATACCTGTTTTTAACGTAACGCCCATGGATATCTAACTTGAATAAGTATTTATTATAAGCGTTCTGAAATTAAAATACCTTTAAATAAATGGATACCTTTAGTTTTTTAAACTAAAAGAAATAGAATAAACCTAGTATTTTCGTATTGTATAACTGGGTAAAAGTGTTGCTAGAAGGGTCGTCTTCAAATAAGGGCATAACTAGCCAGAGGATCAATACTGGAGCTCGGTCTCCATTTGTCATTGGATCGTTGATTAATGATGCTTTCTAACAACAGATCGACGTTGGATAGGAACAACACCTGGACTGACCGTTTCCTTTACAAAACATTACAAAATAATTCTGGCGTTTAGGTCCACAATTTAAAATAAGGCAATAAGAAATCAGATTATTTTTCTGCAAATGTTTAAGTAATTGTTTTATTAACCAAGTTGTTAAAACGTTTAGTTATTCAAATATAAACAAGAACAATATATTAATTGGTAATCAACATCGAATCCAGATATTTGTCACAAAAATGCTCCATTTCCCACGTTATATTAATACTTTACTTGTGAAGAGAATCGATGGACCAAAGAGAAGTAAGGTATCTTAATTCTCTTTGGTTATACTTCTCTCGTTTAAAATACATCGTACTTCACATATGAAAAATCAGACCATAACCCCTTCGCCAATACTTTGAGCTATTTGTATGGTGGCCCTTATCATTGTACTGTACCGACATTATTTGTAAATGCATTAAATTAATGGATTTATCGAGAGTATATTCAGTATATACAGATATTCAAGAATAAACAAAAACAACAAAACAGTTGGGTCAATATTTTGCATATTGTTGAACGCGAATAGGATTATTGGTTCCTAATTATTAGCCATGGCCTTATAAATTAATAGATAATTATGTAACAATCCAAAAACTACGACCTTGAACTTTACTCCATTGATGATACAAAGGTAAAACAGATACTTAGGCTTTGTCAGCAGGGTGCCATCGTGGGGAGGGGGGCATCTTCACTTTCCCTTTCGGTGCGAATATATAAATATAGGTGCTGCAGCGCGTCTGTCTGTCTGTCTGTTTCTGTCGTGTGGATAACCCTAGCTGGTAAGTAAGTCTTTACATTATTTTATATGAAAAAAAAACCGGCGTTTATTGGTCATCAATGATTGTTTGGAGAAACACATGATGTGGTTTGGTCACATTGTTGAGGATTTATGGTAGTGAAAGAATGGTTTTTATTCTTGTTTGATTATCGGTTGTTTTAGTCTTTTTAGACCATCAAATTACGAATATACTGGAATTAGAACTGTTCAATGTATATACAATTAGTAATATTTTGGTTGGGTCATACCATTTAAAAGTTAAAATGGGAAATACCAATTAAAAGTTAGGAGTTATATTATTTATTTATCAACAAGAGATTCTATCAACAAAGTGGTAAAACAGTAATAAACCCTTAAATTTAAACACACATTTTTCGTTATGTATAATATTGTCTGTGTAAGCGACTTCCAACATTTTTCTTTATGCAATGCTTTACTGAACACGGTGTTTTATTACTTTAAATACAAATGCATTTACAGATTAGTATGGGTGTAAATAAACTTTAAATATGTACTTAGAAACATAAAACATATTCTTTAAAACAATTTTAAGACTTTCAACATAAAATGTTATTTATAAAGGGACCAATGCACATTTTTAACTATCAATATTTTAAATGAAACTTTTATTATCAAAGTATGCATTATTCTAGCTTTAAAACTGCAGTTCATTATTTTTATATTACAAAAATTTACTTTGCTCGTACGTAATTTTCCATGAAGAAATATCACGTTGGATATTATTATTATTATTATTATTATTATTCTGGAAATACACTTATTGTCATATATCGACATAGGCACGTTTGTATTGCCACAATCATTGATAGTAAAACATTTTATCATACAAATTTAACAAAAGGCATTACAGGCGTGTTAATTTTGAACCCAAGATATACATATGGTATACATATGGTATATGGTATTCTTCAATTGTAACAAATTGCGATTCTGAAAAGCACATCTTCGATTGAGCGTTCATACAGGCAGCTATTAAAATTTTTAAAATATTAAAAATGCAATGGAAATAGTACTATGATATGAAAGTTCTAAATATCATCCGTAAATACCTCTCAGTATGCTTTAATACATAATGCACCTATTATTGACAAAATTATCGTATATTTGCGTATAGTATTTAAAGTGATAGTAAACACCGGTCTTATGTTAGAATACTAATGCAATTTAAAGGCTAGACGTTAATGCAGAATCAAACCAATGTTGAAAATGTGTATCTATCTATGAACCTTAGCTCAAACTATTCATTAGAATTATGATGTGAGAAACTGTATAATTGATTTATTATTAATATTTTTTATCAAGGTGTAATATATGATCCATATACAACACGCTGTATAAATTACTAAGTTTGAATAATATTTTTATTTTAATATAGCGAGTATCAAAGTAGTTTTAAATAACAAGCAGAGAGTGAATCCTGGAGAACCTAGAACCACAGATATTGTAAATCTATACAATTATAAAACTGAGGTGGTGTCTGTCTGTCTGAGCAGCTCTCACGATTAAAGTACCAAACAAATACAGACCAAATTAACCACAAAAGTGGTCCATGTACCTAGGAACGTCATAGGTCTATTCACTACCTTTGGTTCCCCCCGGACTTCGCCCCATGGATGCCCAAAGTTTTGAGGTGAGGTTTTCAAAAGTAAATATTAATTGGTCTCCATGGCAGAATGAGAAAACTCATGTTTATCTTTGCTTTGGCATTTCAATGTAAACAAGAACCGCCAAATGCACATTTCACAATTTCAGACAGCTGATCCAAAGAGATATATTTTACACAACTACTAGCTGTTACCCACTGGCTTCAATCCGTTTGACGTCATAAGTTGCTTTTCATAAAACTATTTATTAGTTAACTTAAGCTGAAATAAACAAAACAAAATACAGTAATACAAACAAATAATCACATGATCTTAATAAAGTAATAAATTGAAATTATAACTAATAAATAAGTACAGCGGAGGTATTTATAACATGAGGTATATGGAAAATTCCCTTTAGACAGTAATTACACAATTTATAAAATAACAGATAGTTTTGCGCAAGGTTTCTCGTCATAACAAACATTTTAAGTATACGGTTCATGGATGGGGGTGTGACTTGTAGTTTTCTCAAAAGTGCATGAGTACATTGGGATTTATATATGGATGTGGTAGGATTATTTAATCTAAAACTTCATCATAGATTATTTATTCTAAATGTATGTCAATGATAATGAAACGGATTTTTCTTCCCGTTGCGAAGTACGGGTACAGCAGCTAGTGCAATGATAAAAATACACTCGTATTGCTAAAATTGCATATCATTGTATTATTTCCATTACATTTTTAATATTTTTAAAATTTAAATAGCTGCCTGTCTGAACGCTCAATCCAAGATTTTATCTTTTCAGAATCACAATTTTTAACAATTGAAGAATTGTATACCGTATGTATGTCTTGGGTTCAAAATTAACACACCTGTTATGCCTTTTAGCGAATTTCCCTATAGGGAAGTAGCTATTACCGTAGGTGGCACGGTAAGACCTAGACCCGGGACCGATTTACTTTTTCATTTTGATGTCCCCAGAGGCCAAAAACACCATTTGTTCAAATTTTTATTAATGTATATATATATAGACTTATATATATATATATATATATATATATATATATTATACGTCCGTGAACGCGATAACTTGAATAATTTTTGTCCAATTTTGATGAAATTTGGTTTAAAGGTGTAAAGCGGGATAAACTTGAATGAGTTCGCGAACCAGCATGATTGGACCATGGGAACGTTGGCTTAACGGGGGGTTTTATGGGGCAAAAATTGGTTTTTCTCACTTTTGACCCTCAATACACAAATTTTCCCAATTTCTCTTTAGACCTTTTTAAAGAGCTTAAAAAAACAATTAATTTAGTATATAAAAGTATTTTTGTTCGGTTAATAGTAACGGAGAAAATTAAAAATATTTTAAATTTAAAATTCCCATGTTATTCTTATGGAGAATATTGTCAAATGTTGTAGTTTGCTTGTTTATGGATATATTTTGTATTTTGATCAAATTTATTTATTTTGTACTAAGCTATCAATATTTTACAAAAAAAAACACACTTTATTAGTTTCCTTGTAGCAGCAAACCTAGGTACTCGTTAAACCTAATGTTATTAAAATATATTTAATTGAAAATCAATTAAGACAAATGGAAATTCGCTTAGTCGGCAGGTTTGCTGCGGCGGGGGTATTGTTAAATTTGTATGATAAAATGTACAGTTGATAAAATTATTTACTATCAAAATGTGATCTGTTCACAATATTAAACAAAAAAATTATGTTACTTAGACTTGTTAAGAACGTATCTGTTAGAAAAGCATACACCAAACGTAATTTCCAGCATTCATAATATATTGTGCAATGGCCTCAGAAGGTTTATAACAAACTAAAATTTAATACAGCTTACATGAGCTAACTCAAGACGTTGTTTCGAGTGAATTGTATGTTTTTGAATGAGCCACGACAAATTTAATCTTATTGGACTGTGGACTGATACTGGTAAAGTGTGTGCATCCTAATATTTACACAAAATAGTTCCTTCTGCAAATCGCTAAAACCTGCTAAAGCGGTGGGAATGGCGACTAAGCGGCAAGCGATTACCTTAGCTTTGACCACACTCGCCGTCACATAATGGTAACTATTACGCGGGTGTTAGTTGCTCATTAGGGTCTCTGACCGCTGTATTGTACGGTCATCTGCACAAAACTGTCTGTCTGTCTGTCTGCACACACTTTACCTCATTTCTCCATCTTCCAACTTCCTCCACATTCTAACTTGTTTAGGCCTACTGTTGACAAAAGCCTGGGACGTTTTAGACTGAAATTTGATGAATAAAAAAATCCTGTCTGGAGGGTGTTAGTGGGTAATCATTCATTATCCTTTACTTTATCTTCCTCCATTTTCAAATGCGTTTATTGTTTGTAATAGCTTGAGCCGTTTTGGGATTGAAAATAGTTTCAGTTTTGAAAAATTTTGTCTTGAGAATTTCATTGCGGTTGAATAAATTATCCTTCGCTATATTCAGTTCCATTTTCAAAACACGTTTACTGTTGTCAAACACTTTAGAAGTTTTGGAACTAAACTGGTTTAGAATGTTTATATGGCTTTAATAATCCAATAAAATGACTCTAGTGTCTGATTTGAATTTGCTTATATAGCTGGCAACAGTGATAGTCATACAAGGATCAAAATAAGGGTAAAATGGTTTAGCTATCAAAGTGTAAAGAAATAAAAAATCAATGGTTTCGCAGAAATGTACCGGTATATTAGGAAACCTTCTTCAGTGAGTTAAATACCTAATCATTACATAAGCAGTCATAAATTAATTAATTGTACAAGTTACTTCCGAGAATGAATCAAAACTGGTATCAAGTTGTAACTTACTAAGCTTTTAACTACATTTTAGGATAAGCAGTTTTAATTTAGCATCTTTAAATTAAAATCAAACATAAATTTATTTAATTTGTGCATACGTGTTTTAGAATAAGATTGCACAATTTAAAGAGATAGAAATATGCTCTTATTGAGGGAGAATTTAAATTATCAATGCCTGGTGTTTTGTTTCAACTGCAACCATAGATTTAAGGAACCCAAACTATCGGTTTTTATGTTAAAGTATTCATTGTTTTTTATAGTTTCTTAGTAAACATAACCTCAAATTTGAAAGGTTTTGACTATGCTTTGTCTATTAACAACTAATTTTAATCAGCCTCTTTTGACTACAGCTGTGGCATTCAAAGTAACATTTTGTTCACTAGAATTAGTTTGTGAAACAGCTGATTTCCCAGTATTTTACCTTCCACTACTTTTCTCACTACTTTTAGCCACTAAATGGAGAGTAGCCTATTTTTCGTTTGCCTAATTTGAAGTTGACATTTGGCAATCACATTCTTTATCACGTCACGTCGCGCAGCCCAGCAACAAAACTAAAACATCCTAACC